TGGAGCTGCCTATTTTGTTTTATGGGACAGTGTCTCTCACTGGCCTGGGCTTACTGATCCCACTAAGCTGTCTAGACACCCAGCTGCAGGTGTTCTCCTGTCCCACCTGCCCAGGGCGGGGATTGCAAGCATGTATCACTGCCCAGCTCTCAACCGAGATTCCGGGAGGGAACTCGGGTCTCCATGCTTGTTCAGTAAGCAGCTTACTGACTAGGGAATCTCTAACTCCATCCTTCACGTCTTCAACCTAGAACAAACAGGCATATGAAATTGAGATGCTAAGATGCTGCTTTTATGTCATAGTAAAGCACACTTGCTCCAAATTCCTACGATCAGACCTGAACACTTCTAAAACCTAGTGCACGGAATGATTTCATTCACGCCTTTCTTGAACTGGACTCTGCAGACTGGCAATCACTCTTCTCAGCAAGGACGGTGCTGGCTGGCGCACCATTCAGGAACCTGGAGGAGGGCATGCCAGGATACTGGTCATTTCTGTGTCTTCCAGCCCACACAGGGACCAGTTTTCAGGCTGCAGGGAGGGCGGGCCAGTCTCTAGTCAGCTCCCTTCTCTTGTGTGTTGCCCCTAGATGACATTTTAGATCCCCCAAATCCTGGTTCTGCCATGCAACTGTGATCAGTATATGCTGAGGATAAACATTACTTATGACCCCAGATACCCCAAAGTAATTTTGCTGTCACTGCAATAGATCATCTAACTTCACAGAGGGCAGCATCCTACAGATGTGCCATCAGTGAACAAAGGAATCCACGCACTAAAGAATTTCGAGGGAAATTTTGCCAAAAAGGAAAGGGCCCTCTTGGTGGAGTTTATAGAGGGCTGTTCTGTTCGCAACTGCCTGGAGGATGACTGGCTTTGGGAATCAACGTATACTATGAATATACAAGGATAGGAACGAGGCCCTGTGGACAGGAGGGCTCTCTCCTTACATAGGACTGCATTTTATTTTAACCCACACAGATGGGGTGGGCATCGTTATACTGCTAAAGATTACAAGTTGGCTTTGCAAGTCTCCCTTCCCCCACATTCCTGTCACTCCCATTTGCTCCTAAATAGCCACAAGCCACAGCCTACATTTGTCACATCCAGAGATTGACCCAAAGTAATGAAACAAATAGGACATAAAGTGAGATGGATGACTCTGTGTGGTCTTGGTCCCATCACAGCCTGTCTTCTAAGCACATCCCTGTCCTCACTGCAAATACACACACAAACTTAGAACAAAGCAATGGATTCAGTTAATAAGTACTGAATTCCCACTACTCATAAGGTACGAGGCCACACACTGGGGACAAGGGATAAAGCACATAGCCACTGCTCAGTGGGCTCAGGGTTGACAGGTCTGCAGATGATGTAACAGACTTCATGCTGTTTGCTGTGGTCCAGTCGAAGAACTCAGGTAGTGTCCTAGGGGCACGACATGAGAAACATAAGGATTCTAGACACAGCTGTAAACAGCAGACTTGCTGCTATGTTGGGTGGGGGTGGGGGTGCTGCTGAGCAGTTGGCCTGAGCTGCCACTGAGTGCAAACTTATGGGAAGCAGTTGTCAAGGAACCGGAACACAGTGGCAGTCAATGGTGGGTCTCATCTTCAGCTCTCTAGAAGTTACTGTAGGTCCTACTACATCAAAATCAAAGACAATGACTGCAATGCTCCTGCGAGCAGTGAGGTCAACCCAACCCTCCTTTCTACCTTCCATCCTCAGGCTTTCTTTGTCTAAATTTATGACCGCCCCCACTTCTCTTGGATGTCTCTATGCCTTATGATCTATGATCTATGCCTATGATCTATGGAGGTTACAAAAAGGAGCTGTGGGCTCTGGGCTCTGCATCTACTAGCAGGGTCTCCCCCCGACTCCTGAAAGCCCTCAAGTTCCAGGGAAGGGGAGCAAGTCTGGCAGCTACATCCATGCCTGGAATCCGCACACTTCTCGTTGTGGCTGTAGGACACTAACTGAGTTCCTCGGCTGGGTTGCAGCGAACAACACTTGCTCCATTGTCCCATCTTCAGGCCTGTCAACCCTGTGCTCTGGTAAGCTTGGGCTTTATCCTTTGTCTGGATGCATAGCCCACCACCTTATGAATACTGGGGATTCCGTACTTACTGATCCCATTAGTCTTTGGGTACAGGATTTGCTCAATCTCACCCCAGCCTGGTACAAGGCAGGCCAGGACTCCTAATGTTCTTGCTTTTTAGAAAACAGACACAGTCAATGTGAGTAAACAGTAGGGGTTCTTTCTTTCTTTTTTTTTTTTCTGAATCTTTACTTTTTTTTTTAAGATTTATTTATTTATTATTTATACAACATTCTGCATGTGCACCAGAAGAGGCACCAGATCTTACCATAGATGGTTATGAGCCACTATGTGGTTGCTGGGAACTGAACTCATGACCATTGGAAGAACAGCCAGTCCTCTCAACCTCTGAGCCATCTTTCCAGCCCCAGTAGGGGTTCTTATATTTCCTCCAACCCCATCATTTCAAATGTCCTTAAATGATCATTTATGGAATTTATAATGAAAAAATACTTAAATAAATTGATAGAAAAAAATCAAAACATTTGGGTGTAAGTTATAAGCATTTAAAGTTCAGATTATCAATGTCCTGGCTGAATTAGGCCCATGAGTTGTTCAAAGACACCTGGAGAAACTGGAGTGATGTTTTTAATTCATGTTGACTTGTGTGTGAGGCAAGCAGCAGCAACAGGCTAGTCTCTGGGAGATCCCCTGTGAGCAGGGCCAGGTGTCAAGACAGAAGTGGTTTTTAGGTTAATGAAGAGGAGGCCCCATCAGAGAACTGGCAGACAGCTGGGCATGTTAATACAGCCCTATAATCCTAGCTACTGTGGAGTGTGAGGAGAGAGGACTATGAATTTGACAACAGCCTGAGTAAAAAAGCAAGACAGAAGAAGAACAAAGAAGAAGAAGAAAAAGAACAAGAATAAGAATGAAGGAAGAAGAAGAAGAAGAAGAAGAAGAAGAAGAAGAAGAAGAAGAAGAAGAAGAAGAA